TAATTAATTATAAACCATATCTTTTATCTAATCTCGCTTTTGTCTCTTAAACGTTTTCACTTGATTCATAATTATTTTCCCGACAACCATTTCACTGAAAATCATTCACTATCACTTTTATTTACTCAACTTTTTCATTTCATTTTATTCGCGTTAATGAAGTCTATGAGCACATAAATAACATTTATTAATCTAAGCACTTAAAGTAAGCTATTAAGGTTCATGAAGATTTACTATTTAATTTCATTTAATATACTGCATTGAGTACTGCAGTGAATGAGTGAGTATAAAAAACATTTACTAATTTAATTTGTCAGTTAATATTTACTATTTATCGTATGATTCCGAAATTAAGCATCCCGAAATTAAGCACCACCAACATTTGGTATCATCTCCAAAAATAAGCACCCCCACGTTTTGTATTAGTTTTGCCTCTCTGAATTCGCATTAATAGGCTTTAATATATTTGATGTTTTAAAATTGTTCATTGAATTGCCATAAAGAGTTATTGTATCAGGTTTCTTTAAAATATTATGCACCTTAATGGTATAATCTCATAAGAAATACTAAATCCTTTTCTTCTTTGTTCTATAATTCAATCTTATAGCTTTTTTCACCCTAGGGTAAAATTCTGTTCGACCAGAGCTGACTCGCTTGGTGCTTTGTTTTATCTCAGCTCCCATAGCCTACTTACTTTAATCCAACGACCAACCGCTGCCACGGCTTTATTCCTCCCAGTTTCTTTAGCATGGATGACAACTTATTTTTTATTGTTTGATAGAATATGAATTACGCTTAAGTTTAGTAACTTTCCTTTTTCATATACATGATTCCTATATTCGTTTCGTGGCGACATAATAATAACAATAATAAATTAAGATTACTTCCTATTTTGTCTTATATATGTATTTACATAACGATAAATTACAGCATATCATAAATCTTATCAAAAAAGGTATTCAAAATTAAGCACCCCTATAACAAAAAAAGGGTACTTAATTTCGGAACTATACGGTAATTTTATTTTATTAGCGATAATTTAGTCCACTAATATAATTAATATAAGTATTTAAAATAAACAAACAATCTAAGTTAATGAAATTTTACTTTTTAATTTCAGTCTGTCAATATTAATTTGGTGAGTAGGTATTAATCTAAGTATTTAAATAGGCTATTCAAGTTTAAAAGTTTATGGATGTTTACTATTTAATCTCATATTGAATGCATTAATTAGCTAGCATAAAAATTTTTTGATTAAATTTTAAGAATCTAGTAAATAAATAACCAGGTTGAAAGGCAAAACATACCGGTTGTGAAAATTTTGCTAGTGTAATGAATATAGAATTGTTTATATATATAATAATTAAAGAATTGAGGATATAGATGTTTGCATGAAATGGTTTCAATTTAGAATCACTTTTATTCAGGGATGGTAAATGACCTTGTTATTTGGTCAAAGTTTAAATAGCTCTAAGACATCAAATAATGACTAGGTCATTTGGTTTATTTGCATATAAATAATTTTATTGATTGAATTGCTTATATAAAAAGCTATCAAACTTTATTATTTTTCTAATCGAAAATCGTAGCTATATATTACAGGCAAAATTTTACTGAATCATTAATATTTATGTCTTAAGTTATTCGGGATAATTAATTTCATATATTATCTCAAATAACTTCACTTAAGACATAAATATTAATTAACTTAGTAAAATTTTACTTTAATATACAGCTACGATTATTATCGTATACTTCCAAAAATAAGCAACCTCCAATAATAGCTACTCCCCTAGTTTTTTTAAAACATCTTAGAAAATTCGCAAACAGTTACTACATATAAAAGTCAAAATTTTATTAAATAAACCGACTTTGGCTTCTAAGTAAAGTTGTTCAGCTCATCAAAAAATATATATTCTGAAAGTTTCATACAATTTAGTTAAGTATTCATGAAGATATTTTAATTTTTCTAAAAAATTAATATTTTGAAAATAAGCTACCCGTACAATTTTTGTGTAACTTTTTTGCCAAAAAGGTAGCTTATTTTCGGAAGAATATGGTAATTATATAAAATTTAAATTTATTTGACGGCCAATTCTAATTGGTTAAAAGGTATTAAATATTAACTAACATTTGTTAAATAACTTGCTAATGTCATTTAGTTTTAAAATGACTAATGCTAGTCATTTGTCACTTGGGTCATTTTAGGTCATTTACCATCCCTGCTAACCATTATTTCAAAAATAATTTTTATTTTTGTGGTAAAATCATCCAAAACTGACCAATTGATCAAAAGCTAGTTATTTGGAGATTTAAGGGTCTAAAAAAAGGTCAAATTCCCCCGATTTGCCTATATGATTTTTAAAATTTATCATTTTAATACTACCAATTAAAACGGGCAAACTTCATATAAAGAAGCTTATAAAGCTTACAAACCAATAAATACACGCAAAAACTTTATCTTATCTACTTTGAGAATAGATAGATACGCGTAAAGTGGAGTATTCACTACTAATAATCTAAACTCATTAAATCATCTATACGAAGCTTTAAGTCATAGTAGATAAACCCAAGTACACAACAAGAAGAAACTAAATTTAAATATTAAATTCGAATCTTTTACTACTAAAGAGCATGAACCTTTTAAATTAAATAGTTAGCAATAAAAATTTACTTCTGAAATAATAGAGTTTAGACGAAAATATTTTCAGTATCTTCACTCTACATTATAATTTCACATGGTCCAATAGACGGTAATACATTTTGTCTTTTAGGTAAAGTCCGTGAGGAGTAAGATTATTTAGAGATTCTTTTGTATAGTGAATAATAACATTTGTTTGAAGGTAAGCATGACTTTTACGATGATTTTTCTATGAACGTTACATTCTTAAAAAGTATTTTCAAATATGCTATGCATCACGATATGAATTTCTCGGTAATTACTTTTTTGATATTTGCTACGTTTCTGATATTTTTCTTCTAATTAATTCAACAATAGATTAATTTTCTGGTTTACTACATTAATTAAATACAACAGAATATCATAAAAATGCTAATTTAAATGCATAAGAATTAAAAAAATAAGCAATTCAATAAAAAGATAATGGTTTTTATAATAAGAAAAAGTAAATATAACAGAATATCATAACAATGTTAATTTAAATGCATAAGAATTAAAAAAAAAAAAAAACCAATTCAATGAAAAGATAATGCGTCTTAAAATAAATAAAAAGTAAAAATAATAAAATAAATTAATTTTTACTTTTCTTTCCAATCAAAGCAGCAGCTTGAGACCATAAAATAGAAATGTTTCTAATATTTTTTTCATCATACAATATTCTAAAATCAGCAGGTCTAAACGCATATTCCAATACTTCATCAGGATTGATTTTACTATACGCCTCATTCGAAGGTAAAGTAACAAGCATTCCACTCAGGGGAAAAGGTTTAGGCATTAAAGTATTATTTAATAAATTTAATTTACCTAAGGAATTAAATATCT